CCTAGCTGAAGGCGCTCGGTCATGCATCCTCACCAGATCACGTGTGGTAACGTCGTGCTGAACATCTATAGAATTATGGTCTAATATGATATTAGTACTGCTCTAATAATAGACCCAATTCTAAATTTGTAGATTTGTCATGATATAACTGCCTAACCTAAAAAGATCTTATATGGAAGTCACACCATCGACTACACCAAATCACTGTATCGTATCAATTACCAATACATGATGTAGAACAAGGTTAGGCTAGAGAAGGAACAATATATTTAACATGAATAGAAGATATAAGGTAACATTCAGCAGAGACCGGGCCTGTATGGCCTATCCATGCCACTCGATCAACTCCAGTCCATTCAATTCATTGTTCGCGCCTTCTCCATCGTTAGGTATTTCTCCGCGTTAAATATTGAATATCTATTTTCTGAGTAGTCTTGTGTTCAGCTTAGAAGATTGTGTGGTTATGGTCCAATGCCACTACAGACTCACCTAGCTGAAGGCGCTCGGTCATGCATCCTCACCAGATCACGTGTGGTAACGTCGTGCTGAACATCTACTGCAATCGCTAGCCAGACTAGATCAGACAATTCCGATATATTGACAATCGTCAAATACAACTTCTGATCTTCTCGGTTCTGTCTTTTGATTTCTCTTGGTGGGTACGAGTTTTAATAGGTGTTACTGGTAAAAGCGTTGTCAAACACTGAATACCTGTGCCATCTTCATTGGTGAGCCTAACGTGATCTGGTACACCAAATTGTAAACTGTGAGTCTGTTCCATTTCGGGATTCTGTATATCATTGCTTTATTTTAATTTTTTATACATCGTTGTATTTTTTGCCCGCGTTTTTGGATATCTATATATTTTTCACTCGTGTATTCTCGTTCTTAATTTTGCCTTATGACCGAACAGACCCCCAAGGTATTTAAGATTAAGACTATGTCCCCACCCTCGTTCCAACTTATGCCCTTCTGGCCCAACAATATCGAAGCCTGGTTCTGCTACGCAGAAGCCGGCTTCCACGAGCACGGCGTGAACGACACACGTGTACAGTTCCTCGCAGTAGTCAAGGCACTACCACGGGAATTCAACAGGTACGTAACACCTAGTATGTTTACTAGTGATGTTTCTGAACCGTACGAAACGTTAAAGCGTTCGATTCTTAAACGAGGAGACCTAACCGATCGACAAAGGCTAGACCAACTCTTTAATAACATAGACCTGCAACACAGTTCTGCGACGGATATGTTGCAAAGGATGAGAGAGGTTATAGGCCCAAGAACTTTCGACGAAGGCCTATTCAAACAACTTTTCTTGTCTAAACTTCCCCAACAGGTGCAAGCGGTTCTGGTCTCGTTTCAAAACAACGCCTTAGACGAGCTGGCTGCATCTGCCGATCGTATCTTAGAAATTACGAAATCTTCCACTTCTGTGGTTTTTTCAGTCAAAGAAAAGCCTCTAACGACTCAGAATGACATAACAGAGCTGTGTCATTCACTTACTCGTTATCTTAGTTTTCGTAACGACCGTAAGCGATCACACACCCCACGTAGAAGCACTTCACGTAAGCGATCTGCCTCTAGACCACGAGAGACGGATAATACGGACTGGTGCTGGTATCATAACCAGTATGGAAAGTTTTCCAGAAATTGCAGAAAACCCTGCAATTTTCCCATCTCAAAACCGACTGGCTCGAAAAACAAGTCGGGAAACTTCCAAGCCGGCACGCGTTAACGGCAACCGTAGCCGGCGAACACAGCCGTCTGTTATACGTCACAGATGTGGCAACGAGAGTCTGCTACCTCGTCAACACTGGCGAAGAAATTAGCGTTCTCCCAGCGAATTCTGAAGACCGACTTCACGAATCGGCTTTAAACTTACAGGCGGCAAACGGAAAACCTATCGCTACGTATGTCAAAATGTACGTTTACCTTGACGTGAGTTTACGCAAACCCATTCACTGGATCTTCGTTGTTGCAGATGTTTCTATGCGAATCATCGGCACGGACCTTCTACAACACCATAATCTAATCACCGATACGTGCAAACGGAGGCTAGTAGACGGAAACACTAACTTATCTGTTTGCGTTACTTCCCTTTCCGGCTGCAGATTATCTCCAGTCACAATTAAGCATACGATAGACCCACTTTACCAACCACTGCTCGATAAGTATCCTGGGATTCATCAAACGCAACCGAAACTACCGTGTGTAGCCAGCAACGTTACACATCACATCACGACTACAAGACCACCTGTATTCTCTAAAGCACAACGACTAGCCCCTGAAAAGCTAAGGTTGGCGAAAAACGAGTTCGACCATATGATAGACTTAGGAATCATACGGCCGTCAAATAGCCCATATGCATCTCCGTTGCACATGGTCCCTAAAAAGGATAGCAACGATTGGCATCCAACTGCTGACTATCGGCGATTGAATGCGAAAACCATTCCCGATTGTTACCCGTTGCCTCACATTCACGATTTGACAGCTACTTCGAAAGGTGCAACTGTCTTTTCGAAAGTCAACTTGGTTAAAGCGTATAACCAAATCCCCATGGCAACAGACGACATACCGAAAACCGCCGTCATTACTCCCTTCGGACTCTGAATTTTTGCGAATGCCTTTCGGTCTAAGAAACGCTGCTCAAACATTCCAGAGATTCATAGACGACGTTTTTGGAGGTTTCAATTTCGTACATGCTTATGTTGATGACTGCTTAATCGCAAGTCCGGACAGAGAATCGCATCTCAAGCATCTGGATCTTGTTTTCGAACAACTACAAAAACATGGCATCGCTGTGAACATTCGGAAATGCCGAATCGGAACCGACTCGTTAGACTTCCTAGGACACAGGATAGATGCTCAAGGCATTGGACCCCTCAGGACCAAAGTGGCGGCCATTCTGGATTACCCAGAACCGAACACCGTCAAACACCTACGAAAGTTTAACGGCCTTATAAGTTTCTATAGACGATTCTTGCCTAAATGCGCGTTACTCATGAAACCGCCAACCGACCAACTTCGTGGAAATGCGAAATCCATTAAGTTGGACGACACCGCACGAAAAGCGTTCTCCACAATTAAGGAACTGATCGCTAAAGCAACAATGCTTGCACATCAGGACACTCAAGCACTCATTAGCATCACAGTAGACGCATCCGACTCAGCAATCGGAGGAGTCTTACAACAATCGCTTAACAGCTCCTGACAACCTTTGGCATTTTTCTCTAGGCGGTTGCTAGACACCGAATCGAGGTACAGCACATTCGGTAGGAAACTCCTAGCTATGTATTGTGCTGTACGGCATTTTCAACACTACATCGAAGGCCGTGAATTCACCCTTTTCACTGACCATAAACCTCTTACTTTCTCCTTAAGTTCCTCTTCAGACAAGTACTCACCACGTGAGTCTCGACAACTGGATTACATTTCGCAGTTTACTTCAGACATTCAACACATCTCTGGAGCAAACAATGTAGTTGCAGACGCCTTGTCTCGCATAACCCCCTCGAACAGTTTCCAAGGATTCGACCTTCTTAAACCCACCCAGCTTCATAAAGAAGACACTGATCTTCAGCACGAGTTATCGTCTACAACCCTTAAACAACGCATCAAACAGATGGGAACGGGCAAGGAAACTTTACTTTGTGACACATCTACAGGTAGGGATCGCCCAATCGTGCCGAAACATTATCGACGCAACGTCTTCAATACATTGCACAAACGTTGTCATCCAAGTGTTCGTGCAACCATCAAGCTTATAGCAGAACGGTTTTGTTGGACTGGCATGAATAAAGACGTGAGGGAGTGGGCACTCCTGTGTAAGCTGCCAGAAATCTGAGGTGATTAGACACGAAAATGGCCATTAGGCGTTTTCAATATTCCCGACCCTGGTTTCGACCATATTCATCTGGATTTGGTAGGACCGTTACCAGATTCAAATGGATATTCTTACCTCTTAACCTGTCTTGACCGTTTCACTTGATGGCCAGAAGCAGTACCTATCAAGGACATCACTGCTGAAACAGTGGCCCGCGCCTTCGTTGAACAATAGGTAGCAAACTTCGGTTGCCCTTCAACTGTCACTACAGATCGCGGACATCAGTTCGAATTTGGACTTTTCCGTTGTCTGATCACACTTTTAGAAATCACTCGCTCCCGAAAGACCGCCTACCACCCACAAGCAAACGGGTTGGTAGAACGCTTTCACCGACAACTAAAAGCTTCACTATCAGCTGCAAACATTTCATAGTGAACCGACGCTCTTCACTCGTCATACTAGGTATTCGCAATGCGGTGACAGCTAAAATTGGACACACTGTGGCTCAACTCGTTTATGGAACGACACTTCGACTTCCAGGAGGATTCGTGGATCCTTCATCCTCTTCAACGAACATGGATCTAACATCCTACACGAACAGGCTCACAGACGCAATGCGTTCAGGTAAACCTGCTTCCGCGCGATTTTCGAACGGGAAGTTTAGTCCTAACGTGATTTGCATTTATCAAACTTTTGCTGTGTTCTTACGCAACAAAAGTACCATTTCAGTTCTAAAGAATCTATCCTGAGCTATACGTTCGGTAGATTACTTTTTTTTGAGTCTCACTATATTAAATAGTTACCTGTGGTTTTGCCTCAGCTTACTATTCGGTTTTTTTTGTTTTTCACGTATAGACTAGTTTCAGTTTATATCACTCGTTTTGTCCATTTTTGTCCGTTTTCAGTGTGCTTTTTAGTGTTTTTTTAAAAGGCTTAGGCTCTTGCAAGCATCTATAACATAGTTTGCTTCAACACAGTCATGAAAAACTCATGCAAACGTCCGGGATGCCGTTTTGCTGTCACAACTGGCATGCAGTGCGACAACTGCAAAGGTTGGTTCCACGAAGCATGCACAGATCTGACAGCAACTTCTTACAACAAACTCAGCAAGTCAGACCAAAAGTGGGTATGTGTCACGTGCAGCACGGACGCAGTTGTCTTGCTGAGTAACATCATTGTCCTACTGACAGGTCTTCGGAACAAGTTGTCAGTTAACTTGGATAACGATAGTAAAAAAACCGGTAGACAAACAAGAGCGTGTGACGGACTCAAAAATAGGGATGTCGACAGGTATACCATCGATGGAGCATCCATCAACACTAATGACGACGTGTTGAGGCTCAGCACCATCATTACGTCGACAGTACTAGACTCCCTAAGCAAACTCGGGTCTCCCAGCTCAGGGTCCCTGGACACAACAGTGGTTCCCAAAAACCCTGTAGGTGATTCGACCCACGTTAAGAGAGCCCAAAAGAACCAGGCATCACCGCCTAAGCCGAGCAACCCAAGTGTTGCTGCACGGAAAATAACTGGTGATTTGGTCGCACAGTCTACCCCCAAGACTGTTCGTCCGGTCAATAAAGAGCCCAAGATTCAAAAACGCACACTGACCTCCAAACAACAAGTTATTAAACCTGAACCCATCGTGAAACCTGGTAAATTAACAACAGTTCGTGACGATTCTCTCATTATCATGAACCTCGTTGACAATCCTGACCTTCCTCTCAGTCTGCAGGACAAAAACGACAGGATGCTCTGGGGTGAATTGAACAAGAAGCTTGAACTTCCTAGAATAGAGCCTTTGACGGTCACCCGGCTCACTCGAGGAAAGGATTCTAAGCATCTAAATCACCCGAGGCTTCTCCGAGTAACATTTAAGAATGCTACCGACGTAGAGGACGTCTTGCTAGCAAGTCACTTGCTGAAATCAGATGGTAACGTAAGAATATTGCCCGACATACCGTACTCTGAGCGCAATATCATACGAAACATCCCTAAAGAATCTCGCGAGAAGTTTTTCCGCGGTAGAAACATAATTGTTCAAGGTATACCGGAAAATGCAGACCCTACTCAATCACATTCTGACATCAGGGAATGGAAATTCATCAAACAGTCCTTGAGGCTCAAACACATACTGACTCAGCATGTGACGAGACTAGCCAAGAAGGACGGTGACCCAGACCCCGTCTAATGAAGATAACCTTCCCATCTTCCCACATGGCGGCTGCAGTTCTGGAAGCATTTCGTGCTAATAGACGTCGATTGCCACCTGGAATCCACATGCACCCGGATAGGCCATACGAAGCTAGGACCAAGAACAAAGGCAAGTTGGAGCTGACCATTCCACTTGTGGACTGTCTAAACGATAAAAAAACGTGTAAAGGACAGGGCCTACCACCTCGGCAAACCTCATATAGGTGGGCTACCTGTCCATTCACATAAGGTTCATACAGAAAAACAGGACGAAGCTCACGCGTTCCAAATTGAAAGCATAAACTGCTTATATATGAACGCCGCGAGTCTACCAAACAAACTGGATGAACTACGTGAACTTAGCAACGCTAATAAGGCCCATCTGATAGGAATATCTGAAACCTGGATATCTTCTCAGTTCTCGGACCAAGAGTTAGCATTACCTGGGATGACTTTGTTCCGCAACGACAGAAAAACAGGAATTGGGGGCGGAGTAGCCATATACATAAGCTCTTGCTTGGAGGTGCACCAAGTTCACAACCTCGAGTTTAACAATCTTGAGGAATCCATATGGTGCTCTGTAAGATTGTCTAGTACTTCGAGGTGTCTAGTCGGAGTCATTTACAGGAAGCCAACTGCCGACATCGAGTACGATAGTCGTATGCTGGAAGGACTATCCCGCTCTATCCGTCTCGGTTTCACACACATCCTGATTCTAGGGGACTTTAATCTCCCTAGAGTCAACTTCGCGGAACACACGTACACTGGAGGCGACAACTCAATTGAAGCTCGGTTCTTCAACCTCATCGATGACTTGGGCTTATATGAAAATGTGAGGTCGGCAACTCGTTGGAGAAACAGTCAGACACCATCGCGCTTAGACTGTGTATTCACTAACGAAGAATTCCTAGTCGACAACCTCTCAATCCTGGCTCCTCTGGGAAAGAGCGATCATGCCGTCATAGCCTTCAGTTTTGTCATCAAAACTAAGCTAAGGTATCCCAACAATAATTTGCGTTGGAATTTTAAACGGCTGAATGTGCCAGCTCTACATGACTATCTACAACAGGTGGCTTGGGATGTTCACCCTCAACTCGATGTGGATGGTCATTGGGACTTCTTACTGCACACGCTCTTATGTGCTACAGACCATTCAGTTCCTCAAACGGTTCCCAAAAGCTGCAAGCCACCTACAGTAATCAAGAACCGTACCCTTCGCCTGCTAAGCCGCAAAAGGCACTGTCGGGCGGAATACAAACGAACTAATAACGATGGAGCGTATAGGCAATATAAACATATCAGGAACATATGCACGAAGGCTATAAGAGAAGACGATACACAGGCACTTCAGGAGGATCTGAATCGACTTCAAAGTTGGGCAGACGATAACGGACTTACCTTTAACACTTCAAAATGTAAAGTAGTCCATCTGCGACATGTTGCAAACTACAGTTACAACTTAGGAAACTCCTCTCTAGTAGTATCCCAAGTCGAGAAAGATTTAGGAGTCCTGGTACCCCATGATTTAAAGTCTTACGCCAACTGTGACAAAAATGCCTTCCGAGCAAACCTTGCACTGGTAATGTTGAAGCGCATTTTTGGACAGTTTGACGGCGAACTTTCCATACAATCTTCAATATTTTCATCCGTCCCCATTTAGAGTACGGAAACATAGTACTCCCCCCTCACTCCAAAAGGACAAGGTCACTTTGGAGCGTATCCAACGGCGAGCCACGAAATCAGTTCGAGGACTCAAATCTAAACCTTACGAAGAACGCCTCCGTTCACTAGACCTTTACCCATTAGAATATAGGCGTCTTAGAAGTGATTTACTAATGGCTTATAGTATTCTCAACACTTCTGGACATCCTCTTAAACACCTACTTAAGCTTAGTTCGAATAACAACCTAAGGGGTAACACCCAGAAACTGGAAACACAACATAGCAAGACGGAATGTAGACACAACTTCTACTCCTTAAGAGTTGTCAAAAGCTGGAATTCGCTGCCGGCTGAGCTAGTCCAAGCGACTTCTCAGGAGTCCTTCAAGAGGCAACTTGACCTATTCTAAGGACCAAGGACAGCATAACACTATGATTTACCAATTTCTTTTCCTCTTTTATTGTTAACATACCTAGGTTCCTGCCTGGAGGATTTGGTGATCCTCTGCTACTAGACACGGAAGCCTGTTAAGCGAAAGCTTCTTCTATTCCGTCCACAACCATTTGAACCATTTGAACTCGACCACAATCAACCGATGTTTTCGCCCAACCTGACCTACGATATAGTACACACGTTTTCGTTCGTCGAGACTCACATCGACGACCATTCGAATCAGCATACGAAGGACCTTTCAAATTACTTCAACGTGAATCTAAGTACTATATAGTCGATAAGAACGGAACCAACGATAGCATCAGCATCGATCGCTTAAAAGCAGCGTATTTAGAAGGAAATCTTATTCACGTAGACTTACCCTCGGTACAATCGCACAACACGCACTCATAATTCCTCAACCGACAACCAACACTAGTGATGATACTTCAATAGTATCAGAAAATAAACTTAAGACGACGCGTTTTGGAAGAAGAGTAAGATTTCCAGAACATTTAAACGACTACTGCACGTAAGGCACTACTTGACATTTTATATAATAATAATAAGTTATTCTCAAATAACAGTTTGTTACATGAGGCATGCCAGTTTACAGGCAAGATCAAATTGATACAAATGATACAATATCCACTGTAGTAAATTACATAGCTGGGTTGATAATTTATAAGATATGAATGTAGATGGATTTGGTCAGTACTACAGTTGGCGCGCTTCACGAAAGTTGCGTTGCGAATGTGCAACTGATGGTCAAGGATAGGTCCATTGAAGGTGGGAGCTTCTAAATGTCGCAACCTTATGTCCCTTTGGAATGTCTAAGGCCTTGAGGATGGTGCAGGATAAAATCTTTCGTTCCTTGTCACAAGGGGGCTGAAAGAGGGAGCAAGTAAAAGAAAACACGAGGGGCAGAGTAGCCAATATTCATGAAGGAATGTTTAAGGTATGATTACTCAGTCTAATTTTCTTTTATTAAGGTATTTGTTAAGAAAGAGCATTTTAATAGGTTAAAGAAAATAGGTGTTAACAAGGTGTGAGTGGACATACAACTGACAAATGGAGGCGATTCGGAAAGGAGCTGAAAGTATGGGATTATGTGTGATTATAAAATAAAATATAGTGCTAGAAACAGTATTGTGATATACAATTGGCTGTCTTCCTTTTATTATCGAAGCTATTAGAGCCCCTTTGGTTTTTTTTGTATTATTATTTTTTTTCCCAGGTATTATAGGGTCTTGAGTAGGCTTCGTATATTAGCGAATTGTCTAGTTTGCTTGTAATAGGATTTCTGGGTAGGAAGTGAAACCAATTCAACGTTCGTAACACGATTTAAAGAGGTATTTTGCGTGATAAATCAGCATCAATACCATAAGTTCGTGACATCCCACTAAACCATAAGGAGCCGTAATTGAACAAAATGTTCTGCCCTACAGACATGGATGGATTGAAGTTATCTCCCACCTTCATGTTTGCTGGTCAGTAACGCCACCCTCCCTCCCTATTATCTCGATCTTTCTTTTTACGATATGTAATATTGAAAAAAAACAATTTTAATATGCTTATATATTTATATTTTTATTTAAAAAAAGACTTTATAGAAATTTTTTAACGCTATTACGTGTTCTTGAGTTTATTTTCCATTTTTTTCGCCGACATTGTGTTTTTACGCACATACGAGTGTATTTCGACATGCACTTACATTTTCTTTTTTCTCTTCCAGGATGGCTGGAAAAGAAAGATGAAGTTTACGAGGAGCCGAAATTTTCATTATACTTTCTTCATTTTTTTACTATACTGTACTTCATGGTCCTGTATAGTAAGGAAAGACGATCAGACGTTGTTAAACCTAGCAAGCTATCAGAAGAGTGTTTACCAACGACAAACTCGTTGGGTTTAAACTTCTGACTGGCCACGTCTTAGGGTCATCACTACGTCACTAGGGGGGAGTGATCTGTAGTGGTAAACAAATCCCCAAAATAAGTAGCTCTGTAAGTTTTCAACATTGGATGCTGACCATGTGTTTTAGTGGACTCACCTAGCTGAAGTTGCTCGGTCATGCATCCTCACCAGATCACGTGTGGGAAACGCTGTGCTCAACATCTACTGCAGTCGCTAGCCAGATTAGATCAGAGGATTCCAATATATTGGTTATCGCCAAATATACTCTTCCAATCTCCCCGACTCTGTCTTTTGATATCTCTTGTTGGGTACGAATTATATTAGGTGTTGCTGGTAAAAGCGTTGTCAAACACTGAATACCTGTGACATCTTTAGGAAGAATATTCTAGAATTCCAGTTTGTAGCTCCCTGATTGGACAATGCTCATAACCCCCTGTATGCGGATTGAAGGACTGTAATGATGATTTCGTTACTGCTAATATCTGTAAATACCTGACGATTTTGTGCTAAAATTGACACAGTCTGGGAATATAATTCCTTTCACTAGTCTTCTGTCTTCTCATTGCGAATTGGAAGGATTCTGCCGTTCTAGTGCTCACGTTATACGCGGTATATCAACAACAACCTTCTAGATATAACAATAGGAAGTAGTTATCAAGAGATATACTTAGGTCGGAAATAATACTGTTAGTTCATGCTGACGGAGATCAATGAACTACTCAACATTCAGTAGTTCAACTGCTGAATTATTTGTCTTGGACTCAGTGGCATTTCACTGGCCCAACAGATTAATTGAAGCTGGCAAGTAGTTGAAAGGGATGCACAGCACGACTTACACACTCTTGATCTGGTGTGGACGCCTGAACGAGCTGCTTCAGCTAGATGTGTCCATTAAAACTAAAGGGGTCATCATCATCAAATGTCGAGGCCTTACAGAGCTATAGATTCTTAAGATTTATTTTTCGCGACAACAGTTTTCTGAACAGATGACCGCTGATCGTAGCTACTTATATGTGTAGCGGTTCACGTCTAGCCAGAAAGTACTTATTATACGGCCTAGTAATTCCACACAATGCACTTACATATAATAACGAGAGCAATCATTAACAATCAGAACCAACAAAAGACCCGGATTCACACAATCTTGTAATCAAAGCAAAAATCGCTACAATATACATATTTGAATACATTTGTTGTTTGTGCCACAAGTGTTCACTGTACAACATGTGCTTCTAAGTGCGCGAGATTTGGGATTATCAAATGTCCAGCAAAGTGGGTAACTTTAGGGTTTAGCAGGAAGTGAGGTCTTTGCTATGTAAAGTTTGTTACTTTCTATATTGTCTCTCAAGTCTTTTTTGAGAAAGTGATCATTTACATCCATGAATCGACCGTAGTTTATAACTCGTAGATAGATATTCTCAAGCAGCCAACTTAAATTATGTAAACTATAATAATGTGAATGAAAAATGAACATTTTTGAAAGAAACTTTTTTACGAGAAATAATTCGGTTGAGAGTGCAGCCTTGTGGAAATAGTCTTCACTCTCTAAACCGTATTCTGGGATACACTTCTTGAAAGTGACACTAATTTCTCACAAATTGAGATAAAAAAAGTCTACTCTGTTATGAAAAGTCCGTCACCTAGTCTATTTCTCGTCACAACGTTTGCATGGTTTGTCACTTGTTCTGGAAACCCTCACCGTCTGCTTTTCTAAACAGGTTGTATGTTGAAAGTGATTTATATATTCGCAAGCATTTTCACAGTTTACAGAAATATTGACAACGCTGAAGTAACGGTCACGCGTCTTTGTTGTCACTAATAGCCATAGATTAACTCAGCCTTGATATGTTTTGAAAGTAGCTGGGTTTACTAAGCAAGAACACTCCTTTATTTACTTATTTAAACATGAACATTGGTACAAGAAGGTTGGTTTATACGCCATTTGTTCGTTCAGTATCCTAGAGTCTATGCACACCAATGGTTTGGAATCGGGGTTTTTCAACTCCCCTTTGTGGCTACCAATCCTGTTAAACTGTCGGACATTTGTTTTT